ACCCGTTTAACCATGAATCATCGTCATTCGATGTAACGGTGAACCGACTCGCATTCGTTTAACACGTGTTTATTTGTCCGTTTTTTTTTCTTTTTTTTTTTATTATTTTTAACATAATGTGCTTATTTACTATACAGAGATGGAAAGAAGGCACTCGAAACGGCACTTACTATCTCGTATTATCTAGTCACGCTTCTATATCATATATCGTTGGAAGAACAATGACGCAATTAAAAAATTGCAGATTATCAATTAAATAGATACGACTAATCTCAGAAATATCTAATCCTTCCAATATTTTTTTAATTTAATTATCTAATTGTAGGAACAATTGCCCTTTTTTTTTTCAAATAATTAGATATAATACTTTGTTTATAATATTACATCAACAATTTATCACACTAGTGATAAGACTTAGTTTAACTTGTGAATAATTTTAATTTATTCCCGACTTTTTCGAATATTTTATTAATCATTTAATTACGTTTAATTAATTATTTATTTATTTTTATAATTTTTTATTAAATAAAATTAATCTTCTTCGTATATCCAGATCGACAATACGGATCTGATTTGGCCTATTTTTATTAATTGCATTGGATTCGTTAAAAATGATCAATTCTGCCGAATGCCTTTTTTCCTTATCTGCACAATATTCAAGTACATAGGAAATTGTTGGAGCGCGGCGGAAACGCGACTGGAAACGCGTCAAACTTATATACATATACACCACTCTCCTACCTTCATCGTAGGAAACGAATATTTTTTTTTTTCTCAGAATCTGAATGATTGCCGAAACTGCGAATTGAACGTTTATTTTTCGGATGTTCCCTCTTGTCAATGGCAGGTACACGGACGTATTGACTCGACGAAGACCAGAAATATCACGCGCACAGGAAGAAGAAGAAGAAGAAGAAGAAGAAGAAGAAGAAGAAGAAGAAAATCAACTAGTCCTATTAATCAAGCAGAACGCATAATGATATATAATACGTATACTTGTGTATACGTGCCAAATATAATTTGTATATAATATATATATATGTATGTATATGTATATATTATCTGTATATGTATATTCTCATTTCCGTACGTATATATATATAATATATATATTATATATATATGTATGTATGCGTATGTATATTAAGTCGTACAATATAAAATCTACAGTCACAACAGTTAACAATTAATCATTGACGGGTCAATAAACAAGTAATCATCCTTAATAATTAAACTTTCGATACCTTCGAAACAGATTTTTCGTTGGTCCGTTGTTCGAAAATTGGTGGGCAAGAGACAGGGGAAGAAGGACGGGATTAAATACATTCGATGAAAACGTACGTAAAATGTTTTTAAGCCGCATCGCATATTGACTTTAAATGTACACGACTACATCTATTAAGGACACCCAAGAATTGATCAAAGTTGCGCTAAAGTATCATCTCAATTGCCTAAAGACGTACATCTACGTAACGCTACTAATTAATCTCATTTTTATTGACTATAATTTGCACCAATTTTCGAACGCTGTCGCACGAATTACAAATAATCGAGGCTTACGAGATTTATATAATACTAATATAGGGAAGAGAAATAATATTCTAGCGGAGCAGCAACGATTCCTTTTTCTCAAGAAAAAAAAAAAAAAACGATCTCCGTCAACGAGAGAAGGCCGAAACAACTTTTTGCTCCCTGCCCTACCAGTCTATTTGACGCGTTCTTTTTCTTTTTTTTTTTTTTTTCTTTTTTTCCTTTTTTTGCATAATAATACACACAGAATAATTTTCTCGCCGTTTCATCTGTTAAATGATACTGAGCATGATTTGGCGACTGTACTTCATTGTCATACAAAGCTGCGACCTCATTGAAGCAACAATGAGAAACTTTACTCGCCTACATGTTTGAGAATGTTCAACAAATATATCAAATTATAAGTAACATTTTATTAACGCACAAGCGATATAATTAGAGGAACATTTCGATTTTGTTTCGCGTTTCAAAGCTATATTTCCTAGTAACAAGGAACATATGTTGCTTCAATAAGAAATAGCATCCTGGCAATTTTTTCGTAAAACGTGGAATATTAATAAAAATTTTTTTTTTACGATTTTTTTAATAAAAATGCAGCTTAAGATATATTGATGCCAAGACAGTTATACAATGTCTGGTATGTACGAAACAAAAACGAGAATTTATGATTTTTTTAATCGATGCAGCAAATGAATCAGCCTTATTTTCTAATAAATTTTTCGTATGTCACGAATCACAGGATCGTAATCCTAATTTAATAATCCTCCTCCTCTAAAACGATACGAACGTGATTTTGGAACGTCATCACCGTTACTTTTACACATCTTAGTTCGCTATACTTTACATCGCAACACCTTATATATATCAAGCAAGCTTCGATATATACTTCGATCATTGAACGGATTCCCAACGTGTAATTTGTATAAGTACGTTGGAACGCATTAAATTCTCGTTTTACTTTCCTATCGATCGATCGAACGATTGGTAAAATTGCAATCGATTTTCGTTAAAGTACACATACACGTACACATGCATACACATACACATACACATTCATACCCTATATGGAGGTGTAATTTGAATTGATACGATCGATCGATCGATCGAGCATGCTATGTTGTATGATATCGATAATGGTAAATATCAACGTATATTCGCCTGAAGCGCTAACGATATAACAAATAATGGTAGTGAACAAACACGTAGAACGTTCCGTAATTATATAAACCTAAGCTATCGCATGTATCCGTATATATATACTTTTCTACATGTTACGTATTGTATATATACATGTATGTATCGCTACAGCTATATAGGTATGTATAATGCGCAATGATGCGTATTGTATGTGCACGCGTATTGCAATATAGGCAATATATATATATATACGTACTAATTATACACATAACCTATATCAATGAAACACGTGTGCATATAATATACGTGTAAAGTTTACGCTAGACGCCTGCGCGATCTTTGCGATCTATCGACTTACCGCGTACTTTCTCGAACGCAATTATATACTTTTCTACCTTTTATACCTCCTTTCTTTCGTACACACGTCACACATAAGCATGCACACTGTACGCGGTACGTGACATATATTGCACGTATGTATGAAAAAACGCTTACCAATGGAGACAGATAAATATATATATATATATATATGTAAATATTAATATTTAGTTAGTCGCGGATTACGGTAAGTTTAATTTTCGTTTGGATTTCACCGCTGGTCCGTTATCGACTTAACAACTACTGGTATAGTATTATACATTAGGGTAGAACGAAAAAATAAAAATTATGTTCTAATAGTGAAAAAAAACTTGTCTCTCTAATGTTATTATTAATTATAATATTCTATATCTTAGTCTTATGTTAAATTTATTGACATTTCAGAATATCTAATATAAATGAGCAAATAATAGATTTCATCAGTCTACTTTGATAAATTCCTATTATCTAAAATTACTATAAACATATAACAAGAAATGAATAAAAGTAATTTTTGAATAGCTTACAGCACTAAAGTTTTAAATTTAAAAATTTCGTCGTTCAAATTCATATTTTTAACACTATTTTAACAACTTAAACATATCATCATAGAAGACAATTTTAATTCACTATCGGAAATTATGATTAGCATCAAAAGACGTTATCCTATACTTCGTTCCACCCTACTATACATATATTAATCTATAAACTTTTATCATCGATCATCTTTGCAAAATGGCCATGCAACAGACAGATCGAAATATTTCGGAAACAGAAGAATGCCGATCGTTATCCTTTACACGCTGATCTCAATGATCGCGCAGAGTAACGTTGTAGATACTTTCATCGGATAAGGCTGCATTAATTATTGTCTCTTTTGTTATCTCGTCTCGTGCTCGTTGAAAGTGTACCCTTGTATCTCTTTCACCTTCTTCCGTCGATTCTAATTTCTCTGCAAAACCATCCTCCTGTTTTATTTTTATATCCCTATACTCACCTCGACATAATAAATCTTATATCTTATATGGTATGCTTACTTTTTCTTTCGTTAATCGATTCTTTAATTAGCAGATATCGATATTATTTATATAATATTTTTTTTTACGCAACGCATTTGCCTTATGCGTTTCGCCTTATACTAAAGTGTTAACAGCATTCGAACATTCGTTCTCGACTCGTCGGAAGCATTCGTCATTCACGATTTAAATCGCTCAATAACTCTATAACATTATTTATATTTTCGTTGAAGGACGTTAAAAGGTGAAAGAAGAAAGATAATATAGCGAAAAGAAACGCGTAAGGAAAACGTAAATATATAATAATTCGTAAAAAGATAAGTAGCGGGGATTAGCGTGATTGGATATTCACCGAGAAAAAGAGATTATAAATTTCAACACGATAATTTGGATAAAAACGATAGGCTAGTTAGCATTAGCAACGTCCATCGATTTTTTTCGAATTAGATACGTAACTTAAATACATAAAAAGATATATAGAAGGTTAAAAACAAAAAATTGATACATGTCGATTGAGGTTATTAAGTAAATTAATATTTACAAAGTTAAATGAAGCAAGACGGAAATAGAGTGTTACAATGGTGTAATGAAGACAGAGAGATGTCACTCTTATCGTCTTGCTTCATTTAATGTAATTATCTTTTTAGTTAATAAATAAAATTCAATCAACATTTTTATATATCAACTTTTGTTTGCTTTTAGTGTTTCATGAATATATTAGCATTTTTATTAAAATTTTAATTTCGAAAATAAATTTAAAAAAAAAATTTCAATAACATGTATAATTCATAATAGGAATTATCAAATATCAATTCTATTCTATGATTGATAAAATATTTTTAAATAAAATTGGTAATCATAAAACTAGTAAAAATTAAATAGTAAACAATATAACATGTAAACCCTTGAAAAAAAAAAGAAAAAAATTATAATAAATCCTTATTCAACGTTCTACATCGCTTTTGTTGGTTCGAACGAACACGAATTATTATCATTGGATTTAATCGTTTTATCTAATATACTAATTTTTTATAATTAATGCGTTAATTAGAAAAATCTGTCAAAAAACTGTTTTTAGGAAAGTCAAGTTTTTTCCGCGCGAATAGATGGAGCTGATCCTTTCTCGTAATAATTGAAAAGAATTCGTTCATCAAATCAACATACGCACACACGTATCTATATGAAAATACGTGTGTGTACATCGCATATATGTGCGTGATCAAAAAACAATGCGGATTACAATAAGAGAACAATTATTTTTAAAACGATAATATAATTATTTGTATGCTAGTGTACACTGCTACATGTATTAATATGCAAAAAATTAACGAGGAAAGGAAATGAAAACACGAATGAACGAATTAATAATCGCACGGACGGACGAATGATGCAAGGAAATCGACTCGATGTCAAGTTGCGAAAAATATTTAAAATGCGTATAATGAATAATCATATATATATAAGTGTATATATAATATATATAGATATAAAGGGAAGCAAAGAATCGCTTTCAATTGGAAAAGTAATTTTATCGTAAAACTAGAATAGGGAAGAGTCGAATAATAAAACAGCTTTGAAAGGGGATAACGCGTCCCGTAAAATCGAAATAAAAGATTTATGTAAGTAACAAAAACGATTGTCTCGAGTCTTCAGTCTGCAATATTTTGTTCATCGACGATTCGAAAAGTTAATTCGATCAATCGAAACACTTCTATCTTTCTATTGTAAGTATTCTAAATGGCCTAATATTTATTAACGTTATTAACGTTTTAATACTGTAAATGTATTGTCCGTTTAATCGTTTTCAAGCATACAAATTATGCTAACGTTATTTTACGAGTAAGCCTTCTATGATTTTTTGCGTTTGTTATTTTTTTTTTTTTCTATTTTTCCGTTTTATTCTCTTTTTTTAAAAGAAGGCTCGATTAACATTTTGCAAAACAACGAGTGGAAGAGAAATATTCAATGGAATACTGAGAAACTTGTTCGTTCGCGAAGATTGAAAAGTGAAATTTATGTTATTTCTGTGGAAACTGTGGAAGATATATCGCTCAAATTTGAATAAATCGATTTAAAGAAAGTAAAAAAACGAATCATACAAGTACTTACTTATACATGTTTATAAATAGATCCCGAGACAAACGTATTTAAGAAACGCTTCGATCTTGCTGCAAATTTTTAATCTTGTAATTTTTTTTTTTCCCATTCCTTTCTTACTTCTTGCAATTCTGATTTATAGATAGAAATTAAAGTAGAATAAAAAGCGAAAAAGTAGAAACAAGATTGGAAACAGAAGGCAAAAGAAAAAAAAAGGAATAAAAAAAAGAAGAAGAAATATAATATAATAAGAAGAAAGAAACAAGAGGAAAAGAAATGTAAGAATTATAAAAAAGTATTCGAAAAATCTTTCATTATGGTTTAACCGTAATGGCATGTATATAATGTAATGAGATCGAATGCAATGAGAACATTTTCATCGAGCATGCTGTCGGTTGCTTGTATGCACACACACATACACACACGCACACATATTCACAAACACACGTACACGTATCCCCTCTTCTACTCTTTCTCATCCTCCTCTTCAATCTCATTTCTCATGCTTCATTTTCCTCGTCATCCTTCTATGCGTGTAATTCAATCACGTTTTTTTCCTTTTTTAAAACGTGCTATAGCATGACGGAGGATTCATTTCACCAAAGATATTTAACTCGTAGAGTGAGGCAAATGTGATAAACACCAAGTACCAAATCATCAGTATCACTCCGTATCGTCGATCTAACTTCCAGCCATTCAAATGGGTCGCTAATACTAAGAATATCACTGTTGACAGTAAAGATACTGTCGAATATGTCAGACCTGGCAATAAAAGAACAAGAATTTTTAGATTCATTTATATTCGTCAATTTCAAATCCGACGAACGATCCGTGAATTAAATTTGTCGAAATTTAATTCAATTCTCATGATCTTACCTCGGCTAGTGACGTTCACGTGCGAGCCTGGCTGTATCATCGCAGTTTGTATAAACCAAGGAAGCCCGAGACAAACTAGAATATCGAAGACATTACTTCCAACCGCGTTGCTCACCGCCATGTCACCAAGCCCTTCTTTAATCACCGCTAACGATGAAAGAGCATCAGGCACGCTGACGCCAGCAGCGACAAACGTCAAACCCATCATCGTGTCGGGTATACCGAGAGTACTGCCTATGGAATATCGAATATCGGCGATAAAAAGAAAGAAACGAAATAAAGGAAGTTTTACTCTTTTAATATCCGTTGGAAAATTTGTCTTACCTATAATCGTGATCATCCACACCATGATGTAACTATAGAAACTGATCCAAACCATCGATACGCAGAAGGTAAAGGGATACCAATTGCGAAATTTTTCTTGGCGGCAATCTGGCATCGTTGCACGGCACATGAAATGAATCGGGTAAACAAGGCCCCAAGTGAAAAGTGTCCATTTGCTGCCATCTGTAGGCTTCTCCAAAGGCGATATTTCGTTTGGATCTGGTTCCTTCGCTTTGTAATACTCTGGTTGTTTCGGAGGTGCTGCTTCGTTCGTTTCAGGTGCGGTTGGTCCTCCTGTTGCCGCTGTAGACAAGGTAATCATTGTATATCTTTTACGGAGTTTTTAATTTTCAAGATATTTGCAAAAAAAGTTAGTTTAACTATATAAATTTTCAAAAGCATTTTGCGTTTAATAGAGTGTAGATAAAAAAATATTCTGAACTTGGATATCTTTTTTAAATTCTATAAATGATGATAATTTCTTCTATATTATATGATATTTACATATTTTGAATATAAAAAGTATAAAAGTATGGGTAGCTTTTTTCTTTTGCATCCTCATCCCATAAAAATCTAATCCAACCCAAATTCTATTTTAATTTATCCAAAAGTGACTTTAAGTTAGGTTAGATTTTTTATAGATTGAAAGTGTATTCTTTATTTTAACATATATGTATATATTTATACATAAATATTATAAATATTCACTTTTAATTTAAGAGGAAATCTCAAAAAAATATTCACCAATTAAATATATACAGTGGTAAATATATTTTTGTGAATATTTCTCTTATACTCATATAAGAGATATATATTTTACTTATTACTCGTATAGGAAAAAGTTGTTTAAAATGATGATTTTGATAACATATTTAAAAATCATAAACTAGAGGTAACTTTATATATCTTTATTCTTTTTTTTCTGGAATAAATTATTTATAAAAAAATTGATTTATAAAAGTAAATCAGACATTCAGATATTCATATCATGATCGATTACCTTCATGAGTTTTATATTGATCCGTAGGAGAACAAGGCCCTGTGTATGACAATCGATCCTCTTGCAACGATCTGTAACTAACGAGAGCGCTTTCTTCCGCGGGTTCATCGTCTTTTGGTAGAAAAGGTATATTGTAAGATTTCGCCCATCGTTCCAATCTAGTGTTGAAAGATAACGCTATACAATACACACCGTACATAATCAACATGAACAAGGATTCCATCCTGAAAGAGAAAATTTAATACACGATATTAGGACAAGGATATATCGTCGAAAAAAAAATAAATTTTGATAAAAATTTTAAAATTTTCTTACCATGATATTGATTCGTTGTAAATTGTACCGAGCATTACCAATATCGATACCGCGTAAAAGAAACAATCCCGGCAAAGGGGCCACCAATTCAATTTTGACACTGTTGTTGTGCAAAGCCCGCAAACCGATATTACGAACATTATATTGAATACTGCGCTTCCAATCACACCGCTTATCTGTAATCCCAACAACAGTATTCGTTATAATTTCCTATCATGTTCCATATAATAATCTCGAAATTAAATTTGAAATTTAATCAAATGTTATTATTCCATATGATTTGATCAACGAGAACGAAATACTTACTCCAATATCATCTTTGGCAAAGAAAACACCGATTACCACAGTTGCCAATTCCGGGGCTGAGGAACCCGCAGCCATGAAAGTTGCTCCAGCAACATCCGGAGACAATCGTAGTTCTGCGTGTAATAAAATTTAACATTTTTGTTAATCCTTTCTAATAACAAAGAATAACAAGTTTCATATTTTGAACGTATAAATTTCTCTCTTCGAAAGTGAAGTTTTTTTTTCCTTTACCTTCGCAAATTCGGTCCAAACTGGAGACAAAGTAATCGTCGCAAACGATGGCAAGGCCTAGAAAAGTGTAGATTGCGGCTAAGATATGAATGATTAATCCACCGTGTTTCCTAGCTTCCGGACCCATTAAAGGCCGTGGAAATTGTTCGATCGCTGGTGGTGAACAGTTTTCTCTTCTCGGTCTCCATGTTGCTCGTTCGTATTTTACAGTGGTCGTTGACGGAACCTAGAATCTCGAATAAGCAATATCTCTTATTTACGTCCAAAATGAAAATCAAACGAGTTCCAATAGGAAATCCATAATGTTCGATAATAAAAAAAATATCAGAGTCTCACCGTTGTGGTTCTAGGAACATTCTTAGATGAAATCGTTGTGACTTCTTTCTTAGGGGCTACCGCCTTTCCTGCTAATTCCTCCTTTGACTTTTCATGCTCTTCCTTCGATTTTTCTTCTTCCTTTATCTTTTCTTCGTTGCCTTTCTCCTGTTCTCGTTGCTTCTCGCCCCCTTCCTCCTCCTTGTTCGTCCCTTCATTTTTTTCATTTTCTATTTCCTTCGCTACGCTTTCCACCGATAACGACTCCTTATTCGTTGCCTCAATCTCAACCGTGGTTGTAAACGACTCCAAGGTAGATTCCACGGTCCAATTTTCTTCGTGATCCGTAGAACTGGGATAAGTGGAAGTTAGCTCTTCAGGTATTTTTGCACAAGTGATGTACTGAACTAACACATATACGATGAAGAGACCTATGCGCAAAGGCCGTCTTTTGCGCCGCGAATTACTTTGTAACTGAATTCGCCTCATTGTCTTCGACTGAAACATATTTGAAAAAAAAAAATAATTTTAAATTTAATAAATGATATAGGTATGTGTCTTTTTTTTTATATGTAAATATAAAAAAAAAAAAAGAAAAAGAGGAAAGAATTAAACCACTTATTTGCATTAATTAATAGGATTTAAATAAATAGAATTAGGTTAGTAGGTAAGTATTTTTAAAAGATTTGTATGATACTTTGAAAATTGATTTTTTTGTTGTAATTCTTTTAAGTGGAAACATTTATCAAAAATTAAAATTTTGAGAAATTTTGAATACTTTTCTATTTCCTTAGATCTTGAATTTTATATTATGTATAAAATAGTTGTTACAAGAATTTTTTTAAATTTATTTATTCTAAAATTGAAATATAACAAAAAAAAAATTATCGCAATATTGTTTGCATCTTTGTAAAATAAAGTTTTAAATAAATTAAAATTTTCGTTGTAATGTCTCATTTTGTTAATTGTAAATTATTTATTTTATTTCTATTATTCGAACTATTATAAGTTACTTAAGCTGTTATAAGTTGAAAATATTTGGAATTTTAGGATATATTTATCCGAATATAGAGATATAGGTCAGTTTCATTCGCAAAAGTATATTAGTTTGTGAGCAATGTTATGTAACATTTATTTAACGTTCAATATATTTCAAGTTTTTCGATTTTATAAATATTATTTTTTAATTAATTAATAAAAGCCATTAATTGGCTTTGAATCCAATAAAATATTGAAAAAAATTTAATTGTTTTCGTTCCAATATATATTACGTATCGATCGTAAGAAAGATACTTATTTAATGATTCGTAAAGTACACACACACATACATTTGTTATATATAGCTACCATTAACTACATTACGAATAACAATATTTAACGATAAATAAAGATATTTTACGAATAAACAAACGAAGATATAGAATATTTAAGAATATTTAATATTTGAGTATTCAAATATTTTCTGAATAAACAAAAGAGATATAAATTTTTCATTCGAATATCTATTCTTATCAGAAAATAAAAAATTAACGAGAGAAAAAAATAATTTGATACAATTGATACGATAATTTTATAATCAATTTTATATCATAGAAAATAAAATATTTGTGTTAATTAAATATTATAACACGATCAACAATATTTGTGTTAAAAACAAAAAAATATACGATATATGAAAAATATATTTAAAATTGCGAAATATATAGATTTATTTATGGTTAATCCGATATGTTATTTTTTTCTAGTATATTCGAGTGTATTCTATGTATTGAGATATTTTTATATATATTTACAATTTGTTATAAAAATTATTATATTATAAAAATTTAATTCTGTTTCTCTATTTTTGATAAAAGTTTAATATGTAATATATATATTTTTTTAAGATTATTATTTTAAGATTATCATTTTAAGAAGATAAAATCAACGTTCAAAACTTCAGTACTTTTTCGTTTTCTTAAATAACTTTGTAATGGTACGAGATAGAGATAAATAAAACTGATAAATTATAAAATTTTTAATTTTCAGTATTTATTATTTTTGTGTAAAATATACAAATGAAATTATATAAAAATATTTATATCAAAATAAAAAATTAAAAATTAAAAAATTCTGAAATCTTTAGGAATTGATTTTTACTTTCTTAAAAAGAAATTTTCTATTAATAAAAAAATTACTTTATTATGTTATGTATATAAACTTTTAATAAAAATCAAGATTTTGGAAATGAATTTTCTTATAATATAAAATACGAATATTTCTATGATTGATTGTATATACTTTTTATACATATTTAAAAAAAATCTATTAATTTGTAAACAATGATATCTATTTTATATTAAAAGAAAAATTATATTTTTTCGATCAGATGATTTTTATAGCTAAATATTTAAAATTATTATGTAAAATTATATCAAATTTCGCAATCTGATCACAGAATTAATATATTCCTATTCTTCAATCATGATCAGATTTTTATATTTATAATAGATATAATAACAATTATATCTATATTAATTTAGTTAAAAAATAATAAAAAAGTAAAATAAATCTTTCTGTTATTATTTTCATTCAACTCCTTTATAAAAATTATTATAAAAAAATCATTGAATTTGATTGAAAGAAAATTTTCCAACATGTTTTTTTTATATTCGAATTATTATTTGATATTTATTTTTGTAGATAATTACCGAAATTTAAATATGGACGAATGAGAAATCAAATTTTCGATTCTTTTTTATTCTTTTCCATTTTTTGCGTGTAAAAAGATATTCGATTTGTGATTACCATAAAAATTATTAAAATTGGATAATTATTTGTTAACCTATCGAGTAAATAAGTCTTCACGTGATCTAAATATTTGAAACTTTGTAAATGTATATAATACATTTAGTAGCAAACGAAATATAGATACAGAAACCATAAAATTACGTATCAAATTATTAAACTAGAGATTCGTGTTTATCACAACTATGTAATTATAATAAAAACATTATACAATACAAGTTCTTACTATATATAAAAATTAACCGCGATAAGAATTTCAATAAAAATATTTGTGATGAAATATATGTTTCAAAATCGAAATAACATCGCAATGGAGTTTCCTATTTAAAACAGAATTATTTTCATCGACAATACCGAAATAATTTTAGTTATAATTAACACATGAATATGAAGAACGTGAGGAAAATGAAATTATTAGTGAAAGTGACCCAATTCGAGATTTCTACCGATCGTTAAATGGTAGAACACGACGTATGTATGTATGTATGTATGTATGTATGTATGGTAGCTCGCAGTCCGGCTTACCCCTTTCTCAGAAACGTTGCACATTATGCACCAGCAAATTCGACGTCGCCAATGTCTTTCTCAAATGTCTTAAAACATGCAATCGCAGCACCGATTATTGTCACGGAAAAGGTGGTTTAATAATCAGCCATTTAATAATCGAAAACACCCTTTTGATTCTTTTTTTTTACACTCAATAATCCTGTGAAGATTTCTATCGCGAAGAAAACTCGTTATCGAGTGCCAAGTGTTGCGTACCGTCAACGTCGTTGTTACCGTTGTTCGAAAACAGAGATATTAAATATTTCTATTAAAGTAAAGGCAAACTTTATCGCTGCGTCGTACTCGAATTATTGATTTGCATAAAAACTGTCAGTTACAATGCGTTCTCGACGTGTTTGCGCGGTACGTAGGCGTCGTCTTCTTGGAAACGTAGGTGTCGTGCTTACTGAACCACCCTCGACTTAATACAACGTCCAATATCGTTGTGTCCTTTCATCGATGATTCAGACATTCTTATGCCGTATAAAATATTCCGACAATATGAAAATCTTATGCTTTCACATCCCTTATCTTTTATTTTATTTTTACGTATTTTTTGTCCCCCCCCCTCCTCTCTTTCTTTACTTTATCTGCTTTGATTTTTCTTCGTATTGAAACCCGTTGTATTCTTAATTTTTCTCGATTCGTTTCCTTTTTTTTTTTTTTTTCTTTTTTTTCAATTTTTGCACTGTCAGTTTGTATGTGTACGTGTTTAAGAGGCCATTCCTAAACACTCATACAGGCCTTTTCGTTTTAACGATCTTTACTCGCACATACCACCCACATCCACCGACCGATACACCATTTATCGTTTGCCGTTCGACTGTAACCGCCTGTTTCACTACGTTTATGCGCTGCTCACGAATGAATCCTTTCGCATCTCTTCTCGTACACCATTGCCACCACCCTCCTTTACTATAGCTCTCTCTCTCTCTCTTTTCCTCCCATATATCTATATATTTTACTTACATCAACATGTGAGCATGCGCGCACGTGAAACCACCCTGTTACCAATCCACCTACACGCGCACGCGTACGTGCATACATCTACACGTAATCCTCTATCTTTTTTCTTTTATTCGCATCCCTTTGATACTATCTGTATCAGATGAATGCGCATGCGCGCCGCTATCAAAATGTCACTATCTAATATGTGCATCATAACAAAAATGAAAACTGCATAAATAAATTAATGATAATTAACAAGAAAGAAAGGAGAAAAAAGTAGTAGATAGCTTCACATGAAATTAACTATATTTAACTATATTTAGACGAATAACAAATTGAATATAAATATCAAACATGTAGGATGAAGGAAAGATGTATAGGATATGATATTAATATTCTAATATCCTAATATTCTAAATATGTATATTGAGATCAAAAAATAGGAAGCAAATATAAGTCCATTCCTATTTTTATGCGATTTCTGCTGTTGTTCGTTCGTTGCATCTGTATTTTTGAAGATCATTCGTTCGAGTTTCCTATATTTTCAATTGTATAAGATAAAAATAGGTTTTTATCTATAGTTTGTTGAATTTATATATATATATAATAAGATCGTTATATACGTAGAGAAAAAAGAGAGGAAGAATTTTATAAATTATGTTACCGTCCAAAGATAAATGCTAAAAATATCAAGGATTCGCAATCTATTAGTTTTTTTATTATTCATAAATGTTATCATTTGATATTTTCTCTTGCAAACAAAATTTTCGTTATATTTATTAATTATTCGACGCTCATCGATCGAAACATTAATTGGAGTAGATACCAAGGAAACTATAAATCAACAATGTAACAAGCGACATGCAATTGTAAATAAAATTGATGTGTCAAAATATATGACAAGTAAATAATCTAATAAATAATTATTTTACGCCGTATATGATAAACGTAAGAACGTATACTTACTCCGTTTATAATTCGTAAATCTTGTGCCGTATTCGAGTAATCAGTCACAATATTGTAAGTTTTGAAACAAATTTTATCAAATGTTAATTGGTAGTGAAATAAGCTAACTTCGTATCGTCGTAAAATCGAACGAGATTTTACGATTTTACGTTTTTCTATATACAAATACAAATTTCAATATCTTCATCTAAATATCTATTATAATGTTTATATTTTTATTACAACAAGCACACACCATTCAAGCAGAATTTACATAGGTATGTATATATCAATATTCCACGACATGTTTTCAGAATCCATTCTTATGATGTTTAATATATATGTCAATTATTGTATTATCTAGGATTTTGATGAAACTTCACAGAATAACCACCGCTATTTGGATCCTTTTGTAGTTCAAAATTATTCGTGGAAAGTCCAAAAGGTTTCAATACCATATTTCCTAAATCTTTCAGTTTTCCCAGCATTTCAGTTTTCAATTTTTCATTTCTTTCGTGAATCAATGGAGGTAATCTCTGTGAAAGAAATCAATGTTAATAAATAATATTAATAATGAATATCACTGATTATGAATAAAAAAAAATATATTTTCATAATTACTCGAACTGCATAATTTGCCTCTGTATGACCAGGATCAAAAGTTAAAATCTTTTTGTAATCTTCCAAAGCTTCATCTAATTTCTCTGTCTCTTCATATAGTCGAGCCCTTCTAGCATATACTTTCACATAACTTGGATTTAATTCTATAGCTTTTGTGCAATCGGATATTGCAGATTCTCTATCCTATTTAAATAATATTATATAAATATCAGAATTAAAAAATTGTTTCTTTGAAAGTATATTCTTTATATAATAGCATTACCAAACATTTTAACTTTGCAGCAGCTCTGTTGGCATATAAAACGGATCTCTCTTTACTATAGGCTAATGGACAAGTTTGAATTCCTTGCGTGTAGACAGATATTGCTTCAAGGTATTCTTCGCGTTTAAATAAATCATTTCCTTCATTTTTATATTTTTCTGCTTCTGCTTTAAGAGTCTGAAAAAAGGAAAAAGTATATAAATTTTGTGATGTATTTTTATCACTTCTATAATTTTAAAAATTATATAAATAAATACAAACTTCTTTTTCTTCTTCAGAAAGATTTTGTTCTCTTTCTTTTAATATTTCTTCGTCCATATTATCTTTTTCATGATTTGCATCCCCTTTACACTTTGTTTCCCAATTATCATCATCATCATCACTGTTTCGTTTTATACGTTCATTGCAAACATTCGATAGATTACCATTTTTCGATTCTTGGATATTGTCGTTTGATGTAGTATAATTATCATTTTCTTTGATACAAGAATTTTCTAGATCTTTCGTAAGCTCTTCTATAATTTCTTCATTCGTTTTTAAACATTCAGATTTGTCGTCCATCGCAGCGTTGTTTTTTACGCGATGATTTAATACCTGATCTTAACGTATACAACGAATTATTAAGGTTAACTACAGCATTACATGCACAAGCAGACGACTCTGAATTTGTATGTCAACTATGGTTGCGGATTACGTTGACGTTTCTTCGTAATTCATACATTCGTCATCAGAGAGCGCTTTATGCGACTATAATGACATCTATTTCCGATGTTTTATCTATAATATAAGAAATATATAAATTTTCTTAAGTTAAAATATATCGTTCAAGAGGAAATCAAAATAAGTTAATGATTTCTGCTTTTTTTTATAAAAGAATAATTCATATTTTTCTATTATTCAGAAAAAATTTTATTTATACATAGTAAATATAATTCATAATTTTTACGAATATAAATAAAAATTAAATTATGCAATAGTTTATTTTAAATATTTAATATATGTATTTTTAATATTATATATTTTCATATATTTTTATACTTTTAAATTTTTCCGTAAGTACGTAAATATTGATATTATGATAAATTTTTATGTTTATTTTTATTTAATATACAAACAACAAACAAATCTTTAGTTTAAAATCATATTATTTTACTATTCTAATAAAATAAAATTTACATGTATTTTTCACTATAATATGTATATATATATTTTACTATAAATATTTTATGTTTCATTAATAAATAAAAATAATAATTATTAAATTGTTCTTTTTTCGTTTTTTATGTTTTATATTTTATGCATATTTCAATATAATATAATATAAATTACGTTATAAAGGAAAATAAATTATTATTTGTACGTGTATGGAACAATGAAAGAGGAGAAATTGTATCCAACTAGAAATGATCAGAGTAAACCTACGAATATTGTAAGTACGTGCTCTAGTCTCATTAAGCTTACTAGCTCGTCGAGTTATAGAATATGAGCAATAAGTTATTTGCTCTTATTCTAAGTTATATAATTATAAATAAAACATAAAATATAGTAAATAAACAAAAAATTTAACGAAAAATAATTTAATTTATTATAGATAATTCAGTATAACTGAATTGATTTTTGTAATTCTCTTGTGTTTCTTTTGTTTTTTATCTTTTTTTTTAAATAAGAAAAAAGATACAATTGACAAACTTCATCACAATGATATTAAAATGTTGACATTAAATATTATTTATGGTTCAATAATAACTAGTGAGTAGTTTGGTGAAAATGGATTGTACATAAGGATTTCATTTCCGTTAAAATGATAAACAGGATTTTAGGTCATAAACTGTTAAACTGCCTTTAGAAGAAATGAAATAAATAAAGATTCTGGTATTGCAGCCTGCGCCTTTTCTTCATCATAAGCTTAATCTGTTACATATAGTAAAATTTCGATCAGAAGAAAAATTTTATCAGATAAGTCTCTGAAAACATTTTTTTTTATTTTTTTGTTATATATTATATTGTTATTTATCATCGCTGGCATATTACAATACTATGCGAGAAAAATATATAATTATATAATTTTAATATTATTTTGAAAGATAACATTATAGTTATCAATTTCAAGAAAAACAAATGTGGTTGTTAATTCAATATAATTTGATATTTATTTGCAAATATTTCACAAGTTTCTACTTGTAACACATACAAGGTGAATCGAAATTTTTAATATTATTAAAATCAGGAAGATAATATAAAATAATAAATAATATAAAATAAAATAGAAAATAAAAATAATATATTGGAAGTAGTATTTTTGAAAAACTTCTCACTGAATGTGAGAATTTATAAATTTAATTATCTTTAACTTTTAGATTTTTAATTTATCTTTAATTAAATTAGTAAAAAATTAAAATTAAATAATTGTATATATATATTTTGATTATTCTAGATATATCTAATATATAAAATAATTTAAAAATAAATAAAAATAAATAATTGAAAAATAAGTGAAGAATGAGATTTTTTTTATTTAATATCTCATTTTAAAAATCAAATTTCAATCTATTCAAAATTTATTTAATTTTCTTAAAAATAAGTTATCAAATGAAAAAGAATAATTTCTTTATCTTCTTGATTTTAGCTTTTGTTTTTTTTTTTTTTTTATTTGAAAACAATATTTTTAATACAATTTTATATATTATTTTACTTTATACTTTATACTTTATACTTTTACTTTTTACTTTATACTTTAAATCATACTTTATACTTTAAATCATAAACTTTTGCTTTCTTGTATTATAAATGTTGACTCATTCTATATATATGTAAGGTAATCACATTCTTTTTCGACAAAATTATCTCGTATCAAGAATTGCTTCGTTTCGTTTCATTCAATTTATAAATGTTTCGTATATAACGAACATGAGATTTTTAATGAACTTTTTAGCGCGCCAACCATGCAGACCATGTACGATCGTTGCACGCTCTTTAATTATAATGATATTACATAACTTTTACATGGATGTAACTTTTATATGGATGTAACTTTTATATGAATATTTCTTTCATGCGTACATATTTCACTATTTTAAAAAGAAAAATATAATTCCCGATAACGCATAATGCAATTATTTTACAAATACGACACGATAAGATAGATAAAAATTTTACAGTCGAAATTATGCTCTGTGAGAATCGGGCAAAGCGCAAGCAGTGGCCACAAGGGTATATTTTTCTTCTTAGAGGATGGTAACGGCGCACGACCGTGCGCCATCATGGTAGATCGACCGTATAACTAATATCAGTTTCTTTTCTTATAAACTGCTGCACTAACAAATCTTTTCAAACAACTCTATGAAAATGCTAGAATTTTTTCAATTTTATTTCTTCTTCTTTCTTTTATAATTATAAGTTATAATTAAAAGTTTTTTAGATAACTAATTTATTATTTAGATAATTAATTTATTTTTTAAAAAATAGATAAATATTTTTCTTATTTTGCTATTCTAATTTAAAAAAGAATTTGGATCAACTTGATAAGTTATGTTGATGAATGATAAGTTGTTGATAATTACGTATATATTATTTTTTTGTTTTCTAGATTCAAAAACAATTATGTTAATTTAAATATAATTTATGGATTTAAATATTATTTAATCACATGCAAATGTGAAAATGGTATGAAATTTTGATTCGATTTTATAGGAAAATTATTCTTCTTGGAAATAGAAATAGGGTAGATAACCGTTCGAACTGCTTCAAATTTCTAAAGAGTATTAATGTGATATCTCTGTTCTGTGATTTAGTCGAGAATAAAAGCACTCATCTATCAAGTGAAATCTTGCAAACAGATGCCTTTGTTGAAACAAACAATATGTTCATTTCATATGAAATTATTATCTTTTCTTGATATAGGATAACTCAAATGGTCATATTATGCTAGATATTTTTTAATGTTGAATCTGATACTTACCTTATATATTTTGTAGAATTTTGAAAACACTAACTTTTTAATTTAACAATGAATGAAAATAATCTCAAGTAATTTGTATTTTTTGTATTTTCATTGTTTTTATGAATATATATAATTGATTGTATGAAAATTATTTGATTTTTATATACATTATTCGAATCATTATTCGATCTTCAAGTAAATTCGATTGTAAATTTACAAATTTGTATTTAAAAGAATGTTCGATGAATCTAAAAATGATCAAAAAACAACGTGATAATTTCATTTTTTATAATATTAGTTTCCATTTTCGGTTAATCAACAATATAATTTTGAAAATTCAATAATTGTTATATATATATTTTGTATAAAATAAAAATACTCAATGGAATAAATGTAAAAGAGTTGGCTATTGTTTGTCATTTATTTAAGAAGATAAAAAATTAAAAAAGAAAAATAAAATGATATCTGCGTTGTATATTTGGTAAAGGTATTTATTGTTAATGATGAATTTAACAAAATCGATAAAACAAACAATTGCATAATAAGAAAACTCCATTGCTTAATATCCAATATGTCCGCGAGCCCGTGGTTAATACGGAGAAATACGAAGTTCTAGAAGAATATTGTTGATCATAAGTTTCTTGATATAATTAAATCTACAATTAATTAATTTAATTCCTACTCTTTCTAATTCTTTAATCAATCCTAATTCTTATATATAATTAATTATTAAAATAATAATATCGCAACAAATTACAAAACATCCTTCTTTAAACAACCTTTTTATTTGTTAAAATGAAAAATTCCATAATAATAATATTAGTTCAATTAATTCAATTAATTCAATTGTATAAGAGAATTCAAGAATGGGATAGCTTTTTATTGATACATCGTTAAAAATACGAAGTAGACCAAAAAAAAAAAAGAAAAAAAAAACGGATAAAGAAGAGGAAAAGTACAAAGAGGAAATCGGTGGTTACCCAAACATTACGTATTCGAGATAGCTACAAGTTGAGATATTTGCAACAAAAGGGGTACGGGGTTAGATTTCTATCCCCAATGGTGGTGCAAGCTTCGTTTTCTCATTGGTCCCCCCAGATCCGTGACGTCACTACGCCTGCCTATGTAAAGGTGAAGCACGCGGAGCGTCAGTACATCGTTGTCCGTCACGTCGAGCGGGTCTCAACTTTGAATCACCCTCTGCTCACCTCTCTTCTTCTAAGATTCGAAGAGGAATCTTTATTTCGAGCTAATCGGCGATCAGTAACCGTTATTTAATCAACAAGGACATCTTTGCATTTATTTACAAAGGTAAAAAAATAAAATTGTTTATATTTTCATCCATCAATTATTGTTTATTCATAATGGAAAATTTGTCATGTCATTCATTATATGTATAATATATAATATTTAAACGAATTGAATAATTGTGATTTTCAATTTTTAATTTCTTCTTTTTCTCTCAATTTTTTTTTTTTCTTCTTTTTTTTTTCTTTCTTATACAATTATTAAACAGTCGATTTTCATTATAATAATTCTGCCGTTAAGCCATTTTCATACTTTTGACAAAGTTTGAAGCGCATTTGAATCGCTTTAAACATTACAATGAACTCAAGAAGTACGTAGTATGTATATCAACTTTTAGTTGATAATAAAAAGTTTCAAAAGTTCAGAATATATTAAGACATCGTATTGCGTTAATATTAATATTTTTTATCCTTTCTTTTCTTGATATTTGTATTTCTTTTATATCTTGTTGAGTATACTTCTTTCAGTACC